AAGCTGCCGAATCTCTGGCGCGTTTACATAGTGGCACTGTGGTGTGGGGTGCCACGTAACGTCTCCATCTCTGGTCCCGGAGCCTCCTGGGTTTTCAGGAGTGGCATCGCCCAAGCTGTGCTCAGCCAATTGCGCGATGCTAAGGAGTCAGGGCTGGCCGGGCTTTGAGCACAGGTCGCTCAGGACCAACGATCTATTGCTGAAAAAAATGGGGCCGATGATAGACGAAGGGATAAAAATCTGTTAACGCTACTGTGGAGACGGGGGGCGGGGGCTGCCGCACGTCCCTGACAAAACAATTTGGGACCACCAGCAATCGCTTAGAGGCCTAGTGTCAAACATCACGTGGCCTTGTTTTGCTCCTGTTCCTGTACAGGCTTTTAGTCGTTAACATCAAACCTCTAAGAGGCTTTAAACACTGTTGAAGACCAACATCCAAAGTCGCCTCGACAGCTACTTCTGTAATGGCGCCTGCGTCAGACACTAACATGGCGGATTGAATCGTGCGCGGCGCAAACGTCAGCATCTCTACCCAAGGCGCTCGGAAACAGCAGAAGAGAGGGGGGCCGCGTTCACTGATTGGCCTATAGGTGGAGCGTGCCGGTCCTGACGCTCACATGCGAGCCAATCAGAAAGGAGAGAAAGGGAATTGGCCGCTGCGCCTTCTCCCGACGCATGCTGGGACCCTGGAGGACTAAGCGAGGAGGAGTTGAGAGAACGGAGCGGACGCCATGGCGGCCGACATCGAGCAGGTTTTTAGGTCTTTCGTGGTCAGTAAATTCCGGGAAATACAACAAGAACTTTCCAGGTAAATGCCTTTCGGACTTTTCTGCTCCCAAAGAGCCGCTCGCACCCCCACCTACCCTTCTCTGGCGCCTCTCTTCGGAGACCGTCGTTCTCGGCTCAGGCCCCGCTACGGCCCCGCCTGGGCCTGGGATCCATTTTCCGCCCCCCCCATCCATCCGTTTCTTTCCTTTCGCCTGAGGAACTGTTCCTTTCCTTGGTAATCGCAGACTCCTTTCTTTTGAACTGAGTTAAGATGCTCAACCTTTTCTCTTGTTTGGACACCCCCTACCTTTTCCTACTAGTAGGCCTGGGTGTCCATCGGGGCCAGGCCTAGTTCTTCCCTCTCGGCTCCTCCTCTGCCGCCGCCTCTCCCCTCCCCCTCCCCGCCTCCGCGGCAGTCGCCGGCCGGTGTTTGTGACCGGGAAAGGATCTCAAACGACTGTTTCTTGGCTAATCTTAAATCTGCTTTATTATTAGGGACTTCAGAACGTCAGGGGATCGAGATTAATTAATGATGTTAATTCGGGCCTTGTGTCCTGTGGTTTCCACCAAACAATATTTTGAGAGATTTAAATTAAAACACCTCGAATTGTTATTGTTAAAATCCATTTAATGAAAAATGTGAGAATGAACTTTGAAATACTAATGGTTAATTTATCATTTGGAAAGTGGACTTTTTGAGTAGTAGAACTTGTTATTTTTGCTCTTGCTAGTAGAGTTTACGTAGCGAAATCTGAAGGAAAAGAGATTTCTAAAAGTCTTTTTACTCCGAAAGGAAAATAGTTGTATGTCTTACTAAAGTGATTATCTTTTAATATTTTTGGTTTGTACAAAACTAATTTCTCTGAAGTTCAGAGGTAGGAAAAGATCTTGAAAAGTAAATACTTGTTACGGTTTTAAATGTTTTCGCTATTTTAAAAGTTGAGAGTTAAACGTACTATGCGTTTGAAAACCAGCTGAAAATGAAATTATAAATGAAGAACCCAAATTGAAATAATATTATTGACATGTATTGTTGCTAGAATTTTCGTTTTTTGCAGGATATGGTGTTTCTGAAGTAGGAAATAGTCCCCCTCACTACGTTGCTTTTCAGTATTTGGAAATACTTTTAGTGATTTTAGGATGACTACAGAGCTAACGGAATATAATTTTCTTTAAATCTTTTAAACGTTTGCATGCATTAAATAGTTGCTTTAATTCTATAGCTTTAAGGCAGTCTTTTAGACTAAGTCTATTAGCTTTGTTGTAGAAAATTTAGAAACTATAAAAGAGGAAGAAAAAAGTACCACTGGTGTTACCGCCCTTCACTTTTTCCTTGGCACACAGATAAACACTTTTTTTGTTGCTGTGTTCATTTTGTTTTGTATTGGTTTTCAACCTAATACATTGTGAATAATGTCCACCGCAGCCCTTACCCTCAGACATTTTCCGGAGATGCATAAAATTCCTTTGTAGGGATATATTGTTGGATATACATACATGATTTGAAATTCTCATTGCTTTTCATTAATTATAATTAATATCTTGGAAGTTTTTTTAATTTAAAAATTCTTGATAACCATGTATGTACAAATGCAGAGGAAAATTGTAAGTATTCCACAGAGAAAGTCTAAAAAGGATATTACACAAAGCAGTTTCTTTACTAGAGAAGTTTAGAGCAGTTTCTCTTCAAAATGTATTAATGCATTCATTATCAGTGTAAAGTATTTGTTTACCATTGCAATGAGCTCCTTTTTCCTTTTCTGATTTTTTACATTCGTCATTGTTGGTAATGAGGGTGACTTTTAGATAATTTAAGTGGCTTATTGTATACAGTTGTATTTAAGATTATAGGCTCTGGTTTTGAATATATCAGCTTCACTTCACGTCTTTGTACTTTTGGACCTTCAGCTAAGTTTCTTGTCTTCTCTGTGCCTCATTTACCTCATTTATAAAATCAGAGTAATAGTGATGATCTTATAGTTTTGTTAGGATTAAATGAGTTAAAAGTATAACAATGACACTAGTTAGTACTCAGTAAATGTTAATGATTACTGTTGCGGGATTCATTTTATTAGAAAAATCAAATGTTCCTTAACTTTTAGCTAACTACTACATTTATTCATTACATTCCTGACTTGGGTATTGATGTGTTTTCAGTTAGCTGAAATTAAAGTTAAATTAAAATTGGGTGTGTTCTTGAAATTATTTGATTTGTTTCAAATTTTTGCAGGTTTACATAAATATAACAAAAATTACTACATGAATGATGTTTTACTTACATTAAAATTTTTCTGGCCTTTTGAATTAAAGATACTTAAACTGTGATAGTGTGAATAGACACTTGTTACATGTGGATTTTTTTAACATCAGACTTTTTAATGCCTGGAATTTTGATAGGTATAAATTATATGAATATATTTTTCTTTTAAGTTTTATGGCATTTCAGTAGTGGTGTAAAACTGAAGAGAAACTACAAGTTACCTTTTTTACTTAGTGTGTTATGGCTGAGTTCTGTGTTCCTTGAAACTGTTGTTTATGATTGTGATCTATGCACAGGTGTGGCTTTATTGTGGTCATAGTTTCTACCATAAGTTTGGTCATTATATTTCTTTGAGTTTGTTATGGGGCTCTTTTTTTTTGAGACAGGGTCTCTCTATGTAGTTGAGATTGACCTGGAACTCACTATGTAGCCCAGGCTGCTCTGAACTCACAGCATTTCTCCTGCCTCAGCCTCCCAAGTGCTGGGATTACAGGCGTGTGCCACCACGCCCGGGGTTATTTTCTTTTTAGATGAGTGTTTCTCCACTTAAAAAAACAACTATTGCTCATAACTGTGTAGCCAGGCTGGTCTTGAATTTGCAGTGATCCTCCTGCCTCAGTCTCCTGAGTGCTGGGATTGCTGGAGTGCTCCACCACGCCCTGCAACGGGCTCTTATTAACATTTCTCCTTGAGAGAAATAAGTAGTTAACCAAAAGTCCTAAGTTACATTTCTGGAATTATTTTGAAAAGGTTTTGCTTAGAGCCAGGTGTGGTGGCACACACCTGTAATCCCAGCCCTTGGGAGACTGAGGCAGGAGGGTCACTGCCAGTTTGAGGCCAGCCTAGGCTACTGTAGTGAGATCCTGTTAAAAATAAATAAATAAATAAAAGATTGTGCTTAGAAATCTAGTTTTAAAGCTTTTATTTTAACTTTCATTTGTTAACTTTGTCTAAAAAATGATGTTTGCAAATGGCAAATATCTGAAATAGGGAAAGGATGAAATGTTTGGACAATGTAAAATTGTGCGGATTAGATTATTGATAGTAATTTATGGATTTACTGTATGGTATGATAAAATAATGAATTTTGAAAAATTTTTCTTGTCAAGTGGAAGGAGTGAAGGCCAGCTGAATGGTGAAACAAATGCACCTATTGAAGGAAATCAGGCAGGTGATGCTGCTGCCTCTGCCAGGAGCCTACCAAATGAAGAAATAGTGCAAAAGATAGAAGAAGTGCTTTCTGGGGTCTTAGATACAGAACTACGATACAAGCCAGGTAAGTTGGAAATAACCACCATTCTCAAAATTTTTAAGAGTTTGAAATTTGTACGTTAATTTTATTATTTTAAAATATATGTTGTCATTGATTTACTGAAAACTTTGTTAAAATCCTTCTTTGAAAACAGGTGTACTGAAATATGAGTGAACATTGATGAACTTGTTTGCTTTGCTGGCAGGATATAATTTTTTATTTTTTTTTTTCTTGCAGTACCAGGATTGAACTCAGGACCTTGCATTTGCTAGGCAGGCGCAGCTTCACTGAGCTACATCCCTGGCTAGTTTTTGACTCTTGATTTAGTTTTATAATGTCTCATTGCCAGGGTTTTTTTGTTTGTTTGTTTGTTTTTGGTTTTTTTGTGACAGGGCCTCACTGTGTAGTTCAGACTGACCTGGAACTCACTATGTAGCCCAGGCTGGTCTCTTACTCAGTGATCCTCCTGCCTCAGCCTTCTGAATGCTGGGATTACAGGCGAGCACCGTCACACCTGGCTTGTGCCAGGGTTTTTGAATGTAGCTTTTATTTTGAGACAGGGTCTTGCTATATATCGTGGATTTTCATTGAACATTTGTTTTTTGTACTGGGGATCAAACTTGGGACCTTAAGCTTGCAAGGCAGGTAGTGGATCCACTGAGCTAAATTGCTGATCTTTCATTGAACTTTTGTAAATGTTAGTTCTGTGAAGGTTCAGTAGCCTGGCCAAATATCTAGTGATTTCTAAAATACATTGTTGGTTTATTTTAAAGCCCAAGCTTACAGGTTGTCTTTGTTTTTACATCATCCCATTTAAAAACACAATAAAGAGGTTGGTTTTGGTTTTTTGAGACAGGGTCTCATCATGTAGTTGAGACTGACCTGGATGGAACTCAGTATGTAGTCCAGGCTGGTCTGGAACTCACAGCGATCCTCCTGCCTTAGGCTCCGGAGTGCTAGGATTACAGGCGTGCACCACCACACCTGGCTCATAAGAATTCTTGAATGGATATGTAGCTTTGTTGGAATTGATTAAATAATTGATGTACAAGGGTGAAGGATTTATATTAACTATAAGCTTTAGTCATTGTGTTTATTTAATTTAGGAATTAGTTGTATGGTGTGGTTCATTCTGTCTTCTCCCTGGTCTGGTTTAGCCTTGATTAGATCTTCCTGCTCCGGTTTAGCCTTGCTTAGATTTGTGGCTCTAGTAAACTTTTTGGGTCTACATGTGTGTGGGTGGGTGGGTGGATGGTACTGGAGTTTGAACTCAGGACCTTGCACTTGGTAGTCAAGCACAGATCCACTGAGCTACATCCCCGGCTTTATAAAGTTTTCTTGTTTAGGTATAACTTAATATTTGATGTTCTAAAACAACATTTTATATACAGTACATTAGATCCTTTTCTTTTCTTTTTTTTTTTTTTTTTTTTTTTTTTTTTTTTTTGAGACAGAGCTTTGCTGTGTAGTACAGACTGGCCTACAATTTGTTTCCTAGCCCAGGCTAGTTCTCAAATTTAGGATCCTTCTGCCTTAGCCTCCTGAGTGGTGGGATTACATACATGTATCATCATATTCTGCTATTTTTCTCTAATAGGCTTTTTTTGGGGGGCAGTGGTATCTCACTATGTAGAGCCTAGGTTCGTCTTGAACTCATGATCTCAAGTGATTCTACATCTCTCAGCCTGCTTTTTTTTTTTTTTTTTTTTTTTTTTTTTTTTTTGTGGGGTGTATTGGGGGTGGAACCTAGGGCCTTATGTATGCTAGGCAAGAACTCTTATTACTGAGCTATACAGCCTTAAAAAAGAAAAACTATGTTTTATAGTCTTAATGGTCAGAATATCTGATTTACCTTTTCAGGAATCAACTAAGATTTATTTGATTTCCTTTTGTGTGAGGGTAAATTCCATTTTGTAAATTTTCTAGGATAAGCAAATTCAAACTTACTTATTTACCTGGGGCTCAAACCTAGGGCCTTACATAGCTGGGCCTGGTGGCACAGGCCTATAGTCCCAGTACTCGGGAGGCTGAGGCAGGAGGATCGCGGTGAGTTCGAGACCAGGCTGGGCTACATAGTGAGTTCCAGGTCAGTCTCAACCTCATAGTGAGACTCTGTCTCAAAAAAACCAAAACCTAGGGCCTTACATATGCTAAGCAAGCGCTCTACCACTGAGCTGTATCCCCAGCCCTGAAATGTTCTTAAGTTTTGTGTTAAGGGATGTGGAAATTCTTGTCTATTTCTTAGTAGTTTAGAAGAATGTTTTTGGAAAAGATGTTATTTTTAATCAGGATGTGATGTAAGTGTGATAAGGTATAATTTGAGTGGATGTCACTATATGTATATTATGTGTGTGTGTGTGTGTGTATACTAGAAGTCACTAATTTTTTGCTGAGAGCTTACTATGTACTGTACTGGTATGTACTGGGCATTGTTGTGTACTTTACATATTTTAATTATCTTCTGACTCTACAATATATCAGTAATTTGGCCAGTGCCATTTATCTACTAAATGATGAATTGGCTGGGTGTGGTGGTGTATGCCTGTAATCCTAGCACTCCAGAGGCTGAGACAAGACTGCCTTGAGTTTGAAGCCAGCCTGGGCTACACAGTGAGTTCAAGGCTAGTCTGATATAATGTTGGAAATTTTAATGGGAATTATAACAGTATGGAATGTAGTCATTGATAAATTTAGTTTAAAGATAATTTAATAAATTTGAGAAGTGGAAAAAATCATTTTAATAGGTTTAAGATCCCCCTCTCTTTTTTGTTAGCCTGGATCTCACGGCAGTGTGTATAATAGCAGGTACTCTTAACACACTGTACATTCTCACCTCTAAAACACATCCTTTTTTAGTGGGGGGTACCAGGGATCAAACTCAGGAAGGACCTTGCGCTTGCCAGGCAGGCACTGTGCCATTGAGCTAAATCTCTGGTTCTGAAACACAAACTAAGAAATTGTTTTTGGTGTGTGTAGTTTTATATTATGGGAGAGGGAGATAGAGTCTCACTGTGTAGTGTAGCTGGCCTCAAATTTAGAATCCTTTTGTCTCAGCTTTCAGAGTGCCAGGGTTACAGGTGTGTGCCACTGCCCCTGGCTAAGTACTTAATTTTACCAGTGCTGGGGCTTAAACCTACAGACTCACACATTTGAGGCAAGTGGTCTAGCACCGAGTTATAACAACTCCTAAGATTTATTTTTAGTTAGGGATTTATTTGTAGAATATTGGAAAAGTGGTAGTCTCCATATTAGTTGCTAACTTTTCATTTAGCATGAGGTATTACACTTTGGTGCTTCAATGTGGAGTAAAAATAATGGTTTATATGATTTATCTCCATGTATTTTGGAGAATGTCTGACAAAATAATTTCCATTATTTTCAGACATGAAAGAGTCCTCCAGAAAAAGTAGATGTGTATCTGTACAAACAGATCCTACTGATGAAATTCCCAGCAAAAAATCAAAGAAGCATAAAAAGCACAAAAACAAAAAGAAGAAGAAGAAGAAAGAAAAGGAAAAAAAATATAAGAGACAGCCAGAAGAATCTGAGTCAAAGCCTAAATCTCATCATGATGGGAACATAGATTTAGAATCTGATTCCTTTTTAAAGTTTGATTCTGAACCTTCAGCGATGGCACTGGAGCATCCTATAAGAGCATTTGGCCTATCTGAGACCAGTGAATCTTCTACAGTTGTGCTGGAACCTTCTATATCATCAATGGAGGTATCAGAGCCTTACATCCTAGAAACTCTGAAGCCAGCTACAAAAACTGCAGAACTATCAGTTGGATCTGCATCAGTAATCTCAGAGCAGTCTATGGCAGTAACGTTGGAACCATCTGTGACAAAGATTGTGGATTCCTTTGCAACAGCACTGGTGCCTACAGCAGTACTGCTGAAGTCATCTGAGCCAGTTGCAACAATGTCTGTGGAGTATCAGATGAAGTCATCCCTGAAATCTTTGGAGCACACAGCTCCAGAGCCATCAAAAATGTTGCCAGAGCCTCCAGTAGCAAAAGAACTAGAGCCATCAGAAACCCTTCTGATAGCATCAGAGACATCTTCTGAGGTGCACCCTGAATCAAGCACATCAACAACAGATTTTCCAGAATCATCTGCAACTGAAGTGCTAAGATTGCCAGAGCATCCTGTATCATCAGAGATCGCAGATCCATCTGTGACAAGACCTCAGGAGTTGCTGGAGCTGTCTAAGATCTCAGCGGTGGAGCTGCCGGAGTCGTCGGTGGCCTCAGCGCTGGAGTTGCCGGGGCCACCTGCGACCTCCATGCCGGAGTTGCAGGGGCCCTCTGTGACTCCAGTGCTGGAGTTACCTGGGCCCTCTGCTACCCTGGTATCAGAGTTGTCAGGGCCCCTTTCTACCCCAGTGCCCGAATTGCCAGGACCCCCTGCGACAGCAGTGCCTGAGTTGCCAGGGCCCTCTGTGACACCAGTGCCACAGTTGTCGCAGGAATTGCCAGGGCCTCCAGCACCATCCATGGGGTTAGAGCCACCACAGGAGGTACCAGAGCCACCTGTGATGGCGCAGGAGTTGCCAGGGCTGCCTACAGTGTCAGCAACAGTAGAATTACCTGGGCAGCCTGCGGTAACAGTAGCAATGGAGTTGACCGAACAACCTGTGACGACGACAGAGTTCGAGCAGCCTGTGGGGATGACAGCGGTGGAACATCCTGGGCATCCTGAGGTGACAACGGCAACAGGGATGCTGGGGCAGCCTGAGGCAACGATGGTGCTGGAGTTGCCAGGACAGCCGGTGGCAACAACAGCACTGGAGTTGTCTGGGCAGCCTTCTGTGGCTGGGGTGCCCGAGTTGCCTGGGCTCCCTTCGGCAACTAGGGCACTGGAGTTGTCAGGGCAGTCTGTGGCAGCTGGGGCCCTAGAGTTGCCTGGGCAGCTCATGGCAACTGGGGCACTGGAGTTCTCGGGGCAGTCTGGGGCAGCTGGAGCACTGGAGCTTTTGGGGCAGCCTCTGGCAACAGGGGTGCTGGAGTTGCCTGGGCAGCCTGGGGCGCCAGAGTTGCCTGGGCAGCCTGTGGCAACTGTGGCGCTGGAGATCTCTGTTCAGTCTGTGGTGACAACATCGGAGCTGTCCACGATGACGGTGTCGCAGTCCCTGGAGGTGCCCTCGACGACAGCGCTGGAATCCTACAACACGGTAGCACAGGAGCTGCCTACTACATTAGTGGGGGAGACTTCTGTAACAGTAGGCGTGGATCCCTTGATGGCCCAAGAATCCCATATGTTAGCTTCTAACACCATGGAAACCCATATGTTAGCATCCAACACCATGGACTCCCAGATGCTAGCGTCCAACACCATGGACTCCCAGATGCTAGCGTCCAACACCATGGACTCCCAGATGTTAGCCTCTAGCACCATGGACTCCCAGATGTTAGCAACCAGCTCCATGGACTCCCAGATGTTAGCAACCAGCTCCATGGAATCCCAGATGTTAGCAACCAGCTCCATGGAATCCCAGATGTTAGCAACCAGCTCCATGGACTCTCAGATGTTAGCAACCAGCTCCATGGACTCCCAGATGTTAGCAACCAGCTCCATGGACTCTCAGATGTTAGCAACCAGCTCCATGGACTCTCAGATGTTAGCAACCAGCTCCATGGACTCCCAGATGTTAGCAACCAGTTCCATGGATTCTCAGATGTTAGCAACCAGCTCTATGGACTCCCAGATGTTAGCATCTGGTACTATGGATTCTCAGATGTTAGCCTCTGGCACCATGGATGCCCAGATGTTAGCTTCTGGTACCATGGATGCCCAGATGTTAGCTTCTAGTACCCAGGATTCTGCTATGTTGGATTCTAAATCTCCTGACCCCTATAGGTTAGCTCAGGATCCTTATAGGTTAGCTCAGGATGCCTATAGGTTGGGTCATGACCCTTACAGATTAGGTCATGATGCTTATAGGTTAGGACAGGACCCTTACAGATTAGGCCATGATCCCTACAGACTAACTCCTGATCCCTACAGGATGTCACCTAGACCTTACAGAATAGCACCCAGGTCCTATAGGATAGCACCCAGGCCATATAGGTTAGCACCTAGACCCCTGATGTTAGCATCTAGACGTTCTATGATGATGTCCTATGCTGCAGAACGTTCTATGATGTCATCTTATGAACGCTCTATGATGTCTTACGAGCGGTCTATGATGTCCCCTATGGCTGAGCGCTCCATGATGTCTGCTTATGAACGCTCTATGATGTCAGCTTATGAGCGTTCCATGATGTCCCCAATGGCTGAGCGCTCTATGATGTCAGCTTATGAACGTTCTATGATGTCAGCTTATGAGCGTTCCATGATGTCCCCAATGGCTGATCGATCTATGATGTCTATGGGTGCCGACCGGTCTATGATGTCGTCATACTCTGCTGCTGACCGGTCTATGATGTCGTCGTACTCTGCAGCTGACCGGTCTATGATGTCATCTTACACTGCTGATCGTTCAATGATGTCTATGGCAGCTGATTCTTACACTGATTCTTATACTGATACATATACAGAGGCATATATGGTGCCACCTTTGCCTCCTGAAGAGCCCCCAACAATGCCACCATTGCCACCTGAGGAGCCACCAATGACTCCACCGTTACCTCCAGAAGAGCCACCGGAGGGTCCAACATTAACTATGGAGCAGTCAGCATTGACAGCTGAAAATACTTGGCCTGCAGAAATGCCAGCATTACCTCCTGAAGAGAGTGTATCACAATCTGAGCCTCCTGTGAGTCAAAGTGAGATTTCAGAGCCTTCAGCAGTGCCTACTAATTATTCAGTGTCAGAATCAGAGTCTTCAGTGTTAGTGTCAGAGGCTGTTGTGACTATTCCAGAACCACCACCTCCAGAGCCAGAGTCTTCAGTTACATCAACACCTGTTGAGTCTGCTGTAGTAGCAGAAAATGAAATTGTTCCAGAGAGACCAGTGACTTGTGTGGCATCTGAAACTCCCATATCCGCTGAACCAGCTGCGTTAACCTCAGAGCCTCCTGTTATGACAGAGACTATAGAAACATTGGATTCCATGAAATTTGAAGGACATGTTGCCTCAGAGACATCTATGTCCCTGATGGATCCAGCTGTAATTATTCCAGAGCCAGCAGAGAGCATTCAGGAGCTTCCAGCCATGGCAGTTTCAGAGCCTTCTGCATTGGCTGTCCCAGAGTCTCCTGCTATGGCTGTCCCAGAGTTTCCTGCTGTGAGTGTCTCAGAGTCACCTGTCTTGGCTGTTCCAGAGTCACCTTCCATGGCTGTCCCAGAACTACCTGCCATGCCAAAGCCAGAACCAGCTGTGGCTGTCTTGGAGCTTCCCAGTTTGGCTGAGCCAGAGCATGTTACTGTTCCATTGTCAGCTGTTTCTGCCCTGGATCCTCCTGTGCCTGTCTTAGAACCAGCAGTATCAGTCCTTCAACCTGTTGTGATTGTTGCAGAACCATGTATTTCTGTCCAGCAATATACTGTGACAGTTTCAGAGCCTGCTGTCACTGTCTCAGAGCAGACTCAAGTAGTATCAACTGAGATGGTTTTAGAGTCTACACCAGTGGTAGCAGAATCTAGTGTTTCAACATCACATGTTATGAAAGGGATGAATTCATTATCTGGTGATCAAAATCTTGCTCCAGAGATTGGCATACAGGAGACTCCTCTGCATTCAGGTGAAGAGGCACATGCTGAAGGACACCTGAAAAGTGACTCTAATGAAAGTGAACATGGTGTTAATATAGACCTTAATATAAATAATCATTTAATTGCTAAAGCTATGGAAAGTAATACAGTGTCTACTGTTAGCACTGATTCTGTTAGTGGGATTGTTGAAGAGAAAATTTTGCCCATCAATGAAGCTAATCAATGCACAGTATTGGATATCTGCACTGGTGTTAGTGAAGCTGATGTAGGAGGATCTCTATCTTATACTGGTCCTCTTGCTCTTGAATCTGATACAACAGGAACTAATAAGGGTATTGAATTTGTCATGGCAACTGCTGTCACTACAATTAATAAATATGATGATGTTTCTTTAACTCCCCAAGATACTGAACATGACATGGTAATTTCCACCAGCCCCAATGGTGTTAGTGAAGCTGACATAGAGGGACCTTTGCCTGCTAAAGACATTCATCTTGATTTACCGTCCAATAATCTTGTTAGTACAGATACAGAAGAACCATTTTCTGTAAAAGAGAGTGACCAGACATTACCAGTTCTCAGCCCTAAAGAAAGTGGAGAAGATGAAGTACTTCTCCCTACTAAAGAGATAGTGTCTGATTCAGGATTTTGTGCTAACATTGATGAAATTAATGAAGCAGATTTAGTGAGACCATTACTTCCTAAGGACATGGAACGTCTTACAAGCCTTAGGGCTGGTATTGAAGGACCTTTACTTCCGAGTGAAGTTGAACGTGACAAATCAGCTGCCAGTCCAGTTGTCATTAGTTTACCCGAAAGAGCTTCAGAATCTTCTTCAGAGGAAAAAGATGATTATGAAATTTTTGTAAAAGTTAAAGATACACATGAAAAAAGCAAGAAAAATAAAAATCGTGACAAAGGTGAAAAAGAGAAGAAAAGAGACTCTTCATTAAGATCTCGGAGTAAGCGTTCCAAGTCTTCTGAACACAAGTCCCGTAAGCGAACCAGTGAGTCTCGTTCTAGAGCAAGGAAGAGATCATCTAAGTCCAAGTCTCATCGATCTCAAACACGTTCACGGTCACGTTCAAGACGAAGGAGGAGGAGCAGCAGGTCAAGATCAAAGTCTAGAGGAAGGAGATCTGTATCAAAAGAAAAACGCAAAAGATCTCCAAAGCACAGATCCAAGTCCCGGGAAAGAAAAAGAAAAAGATCAAGCTCTAGGGATAACCGAAAGACAGGAAGAGCCCGAAGTCGAACCCCAAGTCGTCGGAGTAGGAGTCATACTCCTAGTAGAAGAAGAAGATCTAGATCTGTGGGTAGGAGGAGGAGTTTTAGCATTTCCCCCAGCCGAAGGAGCCGCACCCCTAGCCGAAGGAGCCGCACCCCCAGCCGAAGGAGCCGTACCCCCAGCCGAAGGAGCCGTACCCCCAGCCGCCGGAGGAGATCAAGGTCTGTAGTAAGAAGACGAAGCTTCAGTATATCACCAGTCAGATTAAGGCGGTCAAGAACACCTTTAAGAAGAAGGTTTAGTAGATCTCCCATCCGTCGTAAAAGATCAAGGTCTTCTGAAAGAGAACGTCTAACAGATTTGGGTGAGTTGTTTGAAAATTTTGTAGTAGAAAATAACCTTAGTTTTTGTGATCTTGTATCAAATGTACTATTTTTGGATTTAGTGGATGAGGTAAGAATAGTATGTTTAGAAAACAGATAAGTGCACGTAATTACAGTTAAAAAGACCTGCTTTGGAGTATATCAGATCCAAAGTGTTTACATACTTGAATGTTTTATTTTGCTTGAGCCGTCTTTAACCAAAAATAGCACAAAAAGGTGGAAAAGTCAAGTTAAAAATAGGACTAGTGTATGCTCAGTTGTTCTGTATTCCAGCATACATCCTAGCAAATAAGCAAGTTTCTTGCTTAATAACTTAAATGTCTTAAATGCTCTAATTTTTCCTGATTTAAAGTAGTATGCAGAGATGAGTGGTTGATGTCTGTTGCATGTGGAGGGCAACATTGTGCAATTCCCAGAGTGATTACAAGTTTGTGAAAGAGATGTGGATAAAATGTATGTGGTCTTTTTACCAAATGGGAAAACTGCCAAAAAGGTAGATTGTGATGATTATTGTAGTATTGGTATGGAAAAGCACAGTGGTGAGGATTTTTTTTTTTTTTTTGGTACTGGGGATTGAATTCAGGACCTTGTGCTTGCAAGGCAGGTGGTGGTGGAACCACTGAGCTAAATCCCCAGCCCAAGGAATGTTCTAACTTAAGACTTGTTAGAAGAGATGGCACTTAAATTTGGGCTCAAAGAGTGATTTAGGGTATTGCCAGATTAGGAGGAAAGCATCTTTAAACTCACCACAATTTGGGAAATAAAGTTGACTTTGGAAGGTCTGTGTGTTAGAATCCTGTGTGGCTGTATGATTGTCAATTTTATAAAAAAAAATCAGTTATGTAATATTTTAATAGAAACTCAATTCTGTAAGGGCCACCACTTGAAAAGGGAACCAGAAAATGGTTTGATAACAGCTGTAACTTCGCAAGAAAATTGATGCCTTAAATTTTAGAATATGAAAGTTGATAATACTAAATGTATAGTCTTTAGGAAAACTGCTTACTTTTTTCCTTTTACAGATAAGGCACAGTTACTTGAAATAGCCAAAGCTAATGCAGCTGCCATGTGTGCTAAGGCTGGAGTTCCCTTACCGCCAAACCTAAAGCCTGCACCTCCACCTACAATGGAAGAAAAAGTTGCTAAAAAGTCAGGAGGAGCTACTATAGAAGAACTAACTGAGGTAAGCTGGACGGAATTCGTTTTCATTCTAAAGTGGATTATTCCAGGGATGTTGACTCTGGAGCGTGCCAAAACCCGAATTGTGGGCTGAACTGATAATGGCTGGCACCGAGTGGCCAAAACCCGAAATACAGATGTGGCAGCGGCAGAAGCTCTGTTTAGCAGGCCATTATCCGGGATGGCTAAGCTCCGCTAGCTAAGTTACTTCCCATTACTTTTGCTTTCCAGTTTTAGAAGCCAAACTGACTGAGGAGTGGGACCGTTCGTTTGAATGGAGGAGGTGTTCAGTGAGCAACACGCAGAAGCTCGCCTACAGTTTCGTTTCCATTCACGACGTGTTCACTGATCTCCACGAGTGTACTGCATATACGCAAAGACACAGACAATCTGCAGAAATGATCTTTTGCCACCGGAGCTTGGAAATTATTGACAATAGCTGGCCATTGCCTGAAAGGAACTTCTTTCGCATCAACATTTCGGGTTTTGGCTGTTTGGTACCAGCCATTGGCGATAATGGCCGGCCATTATCAGTTCTTCCTGCGGTTCGGGTTTTGGCAGTAACATATATTTTAAATACACTTTATTTTTGTTTTTAAGACTGTTGGGTCTTTTCAATGGAGGCTTTTTTGGGGAGGCTTTGTTTTATTATGTTGGGGGGGTGCTGAAATATTGCTGCTAGGATCCAGAAATACCACATTGTTTCATATATTGAAACTTGTTATTGGCTAGCCTTATGCCAGCCTGCCACTGTCAATATATTGTGTTTTTCTTGGTTACATGCTTGGTATATTCTGTGTTTTTGGCTAATTCAGCTTTTTATTCTATTGTAATATTTTTGATTGATATTAGATGTGATGAATTCTGCTTATATAGAGACAAGTCTACCCAGATTTACTCTGACCTTTTTATAGTCAGGTGATAAGAGTCTATTCCTTTGCTTCTCAGGAAGGGATTGACTTTGCTTTATGTGTCAGGCTGCATCAATTGCACCCTTTCTATCATGCCTTATTTTCCATTTGTAAGTTTCTGTTCCTTTAAAAGATTCAATCTACAAAATATTTATGGAGAGACATACTATCTGACCCTATCATAAATATTTCAGATTTTATTTTGCCATTCATTGGGGCTTATAAATTATAAAACTTTTTCTTTATTTAGATTTATTATAAGAATTACAGGTTAAAAAAAGAAATAAGGGCCTAGCAAAAGCTTCTGTTGGCTTACTTATTACTTAACAAATTCAACTTCATTATTTAAAACCCTACGAATACTTGATATTTGTTTTTAGCCTTTTCACTGCTCTTGTTCCTTCTAACAAGTTTTCTTTCACCTTTTTACCATCTGACCAGATGATTTTCTTTTCCTTTCCTAGCCATTTTTTATTTTCAAGCCCTGCCTGACTTTTCTTTCTTAAGCCTTTGTCCTTTCAGCACTTATATACCCAGTTTGTATTATATAAGTTTGCACTTGTTATTGTGTTGCTCTGTAAAAACGTTCTTTGATTATTTTTTAATGTATATGTATTCTGTCTCGTATTAGATTGTAAGCTCCTTGGGAGCAGGGACCATGCCTTTTTTTGTTTTTTTGTTTTTTTGTTTTTTTTTTTATTCCCCAGACAGTGCCCAGTACAGTGCTCTGCACATAGTAGGTGCTCAATAAATGTTGTTGACTGACTGACCAGTGTGTTTAAATGACAGCTAATAAGCTAACACTAATTTTGTCTACTTTTGAAAGGTGATTTTATGTACTCTAAAATTTTCCACATTCTATACAAACTATAAGATTTATTTTTTGTTTGTTTTTACTTTTAAAGAAATGCAAACAGATTGCACAGAGTAAAGAAGATGATGATGTAATAGTGAATAAACCTCATGTTTCGGATGAAGAGGAAGAAGAACCTCCTTTTTATCATCATCCCTTTAAACTCAGTGAACCCAAGCCCATTTTTTTCAATCTAAATGTGAGTATTAGTGCTTATGTATTGTGAAATAGCACAACTCATGGAGTAATTTAATGCCTAGTGTAATTTAATATATTAGGTTTTGCTTTAAATACTTTTAAGAGATAATAAAATGATGTACTCCAAAATTAATCCTTCATATTACATTGAAATTCTTCAGAAACCACTAATTAAGTTTTAATTAAGAAACTTTTTTTTTTATTTTTTTTAAGATTGCTGCAGCAAAGCCAACTCCACCAAAAAGCCAGGTTACATTGACAAAAGAATTTCCTGTGTCATCTGGATCTCAGCATCGAAAGAAAGAAGCAGACAGTGTTTATGGAGAGTGGGTTCCTGTAGAGAAAAATGGAGAAGAAAACAAAGATGATGATAATGTTTTCAGCAGCAATTTACCCTCGGAGGTAAGAGTAATATTTTGTATTTTTTTTTTTTTTTTTAATACCTGATTCTGCCATTTTATTGTTATTTTATATCTGATTTGGATTCTGTTTCACTCTTCTTAGGGCCGGGTTAAACGGCAGGGCCGGGTTAAACGACAGATGAAACATCCCGCAGCTTCTCATTTCACAGTAACTCGATGCAATTCACTTTGTGGGAATAAGCCACAAAGTGAAAAGCATCGAATTGCAGAGAAAAGTGTTATCACATCCCTACCCAACATTGGGCCCTCCATGCACTTGTGGGAAGGTAGCCCAAGGTACAACTATTTAGCTTCCCGTTTTGCTTCAAGGCTTTATAGCTCTAGATTTTGGTGGTAGCAAATTTTTTGGGTGGAGGGCTTGAGCGGAGAGAGGCAGATCTCAGGTTCAACACAAGAACTGGATTGGAAAAGGTCATTGTAGGGTGATGTGAACATCTTGGGTACATAGCCCATTGCTCTTAATTGATGGTTTCTTATTATTTCTGGGTTGTTTGTCAGATAGCCTTTAATTTTAATTGTTTTACCTTCTGTGCTACCTTGGTCCTTTTGAATTCTTGTGTTTAACCTAATGTTCAGCCTTGGTATTCCATTCCCTTCTCCTTACCCTCTTTGCTACTCGTAAAAATTGGAGAAGTGGAAATCATGCGTTGAAATTTCCACAAGGCTATAGTTGTATCTTGTCAAAATGACGCAGTTATCAATGCCAAGTGTCAAAACAACCCCATTAAAATGCCGCCTGATAATGTGCTGCTAAATATAGTGCACATAAAAGAGCAAGACTGTATATATATGTAAATATATATATATATCTGTATCTTTGTATGTATCTCTGTATCTGTACCTTTGCTGTATCTTTTAATAAACAGTTTACTTTTATTTAACTTGTTGTGCAAAGTCACGCTTGGGGGATTGGGGAGGGTGGAGACTTAATTAGGGGAGGTGGGCGTTTTAAATTATACCATAGACTAGTTGTCATCACCTCTAGCCCTTGAGTTTCAAAGCCTTAACATTTGTCCATGGATTGGACTAGGTGTCTGATGCCCTCATTAGGCTTCTTTTTCTTGCAGTTCTGGGATGTAGGTCTGAGAGACCTATACTGTACTCTTCATTCAGGCTCCCTACGTTGGCCATGTCAACATCTTTAAACACTTCCAGTTCTACAAATAAATCCTGGCTATAAAATCAGAAAGTAAACAGAACCCAAATCAGAAACTTTGATAGTATTTTTCCCCCACGCTATTCAAAGGTGACATTTTCACTGTGGCATTTTGTTTTGTTTTGTTTTTTTGACTAGTGGCATTTTGAAAGGGATACACATTCTATACAGTGAAATTGGACATAACTAGCCAGCACATCTTCCAGTCAAATATATTGGTGTTTAATCACATGGAATTCAACAATTGAAGAAAGTTATATCGACCAGTGAGGGGAAGCTGATTTGGACAATATTTTAGTGAAACCAACTGAGTAGCTCAATTGGTTAATCCCCAAATCGGGCTATTTGCACATCTGAAGTGGGAGAGATTAACTGACATTTGCAACTAACTTAATCTTACAGTAGCTGAATTATAAGTAAACCATGTTGGATTTGTAAGGCTTATTTAGAAATCTTGATAGCTGTGCTTTAAATTACTACTTTGTTGCAGATTAAGTATTTAAACAAATATATCTAGGGAGATTCTTTGAGAGGAAAATTTGCTAATAAGGTGAAGAAGACCTAAACTTTGCAGAATTTGAAGAGATTTTCCTGAGAAGAAAAATAACTAATTATTTTGACTTCCTGCAGTTGAACCTGGTGAAAGTGCTAAGTCCTGATTGTACTTGTTTTTGGATGAAGAGAATGTTTATATATTTTGTTCTCAGCTGTTCTTAGTCTTAAAACTGTGTGATGCCGTAGCTTCTCTCAAAAGTGGTTGTCAGATTTTTAATGAAAAGTTGAAGAGGATTAATTCTGTTGATACAAAACTTTTCAGTAGGATAGAAAGAGATATTCCAAGGGCTAAATGAAGGAAACAAGATATCTCTTCCTGGAAGATGATTACTGTTTGATAATGGAATTAGATTTAAAAAAATATTGGTTAACTTCAGTTCTAAACAAAAGAATGCCAAAATTTTAGGGAGAGAAAGGAGACCAGACTGTGCACTTTTACTTAGCAATAATGTTAAACACCCAGAGTAAAATATTCATAATATAAAATGTTCAAATTGAATTCTTTGCTTCCGTCTAAGTTTACTAAATTTGTAAAATTAATATTCTATGTATCAGTGTTTGTGGAATACTTTGATATTTCATGGGTGCATTGATCCTTTCGATTCTATAAGGACTTGAAATAAAGGTTCTCTAGATTAAAAGGAAAGTTCTGTTTAAATGGTCAACTTTTATTTAACTGAACATTTAAAAAATTTTTAATTCATCATTTGTTTTAATACATGGGATTTGTGGTGCTTTAGTCTTGACCATAAAACATTTAGGCAAAGATTTTGGGTTTTATCTCAAGGGCTCTTTGACATGAGTGGGCAAACGTGGATGGATTAGTGTAAATCCATATTTTATGGAAAAACAACTCAGACTATGTGCCCTTCTGCTATAGCATTGTCTTCCTACTCAGAAATGAGGCAGGATCATTCTCAATAAGGAGTGATTACAGAAGTTTAGTTTGATAGTTGATTTATAAACACAAAAGTTGGAAAAATCAATATTTAGAATTAAATAGTCTCTTTTTTTTTTTTTTGGTACCAGGGATTGAATTCAGGACCTTGAGCACGGTACCACTGACCCTTGGCCCTGGGGTATTCTTGTAATAAGGCAGCAAAAGGCTTACTGGTCAGAATATTTAAATGTACCCTCTGTCATAAGTATAAATGGAAGAGTAACTATATTCAACCATCAGTGTGAAGTTTTGTGTTGTAGCATAGATGTTTAGAGGCCCAGCTGAAGTGATTACTTAAATGTTCAGATCATCTTTATCTCAAACAGTGTGCTAGATTTGTATTCAGTCATATTCCTGCATCTCAGATAAATAAATTTTAAGTTTAGAAACTGAATTTACAAATTTTAGGAAAGTTTAATTGGAGTAATATGAACATTTTAATTGGAAATGAAATGTACTGCTAGGGTGTGTAATGTATAGCTTTGTTATCCTCTACCTTACATTGTTCTAGATGGTTAATACTAAATTTCTTTAAGTTATTTAAAATAGATAATTGTTTTTTGTTCACATTTAGATTAGTCTGGGTAGGAGTTACACTAGACAATTCTGAATGATACAATAAACTCATAATTCACGCTTTTAAAAAGACAAGTATATAATTGGGGCATGCTGTACTCAATGACTTTTCTTTTTAAAGCTTTTCTGTTATGTATGAACCTGTACATATTTGAGTAATTTTTGCTAAATACTTCAAATGTTTTATAGGCCATGCCTTTTTTCTTTTTTTTAACTGAAAATTTCCTGTTACACCTTTTAATTTGATATTACCTCTGTAAGTTTTCTTTTAATTACTACCCCATCCTAACAATTTCACAATTTAATATCCTTACACTGACATCCTACAAAAGTCTTACGATACTTGTTCTGTTTATATAAACAGGTTAACAAAATGAGTACGTTGATTTAGAAGGGTTTTTTAAATGATAAAATCATGAAAGGTAAATATACACTACAGATCATGAAATGCACATAGTGCCAACTGCAGTGTGTATTTTATTATACCTGAGAGCCCTTACAGGTTTTAGAAGTAATAGTGATCAGCATTGTTGCCAAGGTAGGGATGAAATAACTTGGGTAGCTTTTATTACTTGAAGGCTTGTTGATCAAACAAATTTAAGGTTCTTTTTGTTTATTGGTTTGTAGAGAGGCCTTTAACATCATTTTGATACCTTTCTCATATTACCTGTTTCTTAACAGTATTAAAGGATGGTCAAGATTCTAAATCACTATTTTCCATTGTAGTACTCACCAGCTACTGAAAAATTAGTACCTAGCCACATTTCAAGTACTCAGAAGCTATCACAGCAGAAAGTTCTGATGAGAGTACTGTTCTAGATGGTAGCTGTGGTATTTAATACTAATACATTAACATCTGGTATGACCTTTGAATATTAGTGCTTTGGAGATTTTAGTTTTTAAATGCCTTATTGCCTAACCTGAATTACCTTGAAAAGCTGGAAAACAAGCTTTTGAAATGTAAACTCTTGAGGATCCATCTTGACTATAACTTTTTCACATTTAAAAATATGACTGAAATTAAAAGTCATTATTTGGAAATAAAATTTTAATATGAACTTGCAGCTTGTTTGGTAAGTCTGCTGAAGAATAAGTTGTATTCTCAGGAAAAATAGTTGTAATTTTATCAAAGTAAATTCAAAGTTAGAAGTGAGTTTTTTGTTTTATTTTTTAAGAATAGGAAAAATTTATTGAGAGAAAGATGGCTTCTGCTTAAGAGAGACAGAAGGGGGACTGGAAAGTGGATCTCCCAAAAGTGAATTTAATATGAAATATTGGTTAGATATGAATGGTCATTCTGAACCTATGATGAAATATTTAGGTTACCTCTTCATAAAAGCCAAAGGATGAGTTCACAGGTATATTAGAAAAGTTTCCAAAGCCATCTAAGTGCATTTCTATGGCTAATTTGTAGTTGGAGATTAGAAGTCAGGGGTTGGGAATTTAAGTAGTCATGTTTTCTCCTATATTTTTACTGTTTAGCTTTTCCAGAACAACAGCCTAAGCAGCCCGGCACTTATAGATTGATTATAATAACCAGAGTTAAGTATGAGAAGACCATTTTTCAAATTATGGGCCTTCAGAAATTACATTGATAATCTTGACAGTTTTAGGAAACATCTAAGGTAGGCCTAGGTGACATCAGTTTTGGCCTGAAATATGTGCATTCTCATTGAAAGTCCTAGGACTCTCACAGAGGAGATCAGAGTTATGGTAATGAAATCACTTAAAGTAGAAGTGAAGGTATTCAGTGTTTTAGTCTGACTTTGCTAAAATTAAATCTTTGTTGCTGGGCGTGGTGGTGCCTGCCTGTAATCCCAGCACTCAGGAGGCTGAATATGAGACCAGCCTGGGCTACATAGTAAGTTCTGGTCAGCCTGAACTACATAGTGAAACCTTGTCTCAAAAACCCAAAAACAAAACTTTGTCCTCTTACGATACTCTTAATTTGTGTGGATAAGTTAACAAAGCAAGATCTTTTCAAGAGATCTAAAGAAGATAAAAATTTGTAATTTCTGGAAGAAAAAAAGGAATCAGGTGATTCAGCAAGATGACTAAACATAGTGTGAATAAAAAATTCTACAGGTAGGAAGAGGAAAATTCAGAAATCCTTACTATACCTAATACATATTCTCAGTCATCTTTATAGGTCATATTTTTAAAAGAATGGGTTTGTACACAGTTGTCTAATTGCAGCTATCTTCTATTTAAAAAAAAAATCCTCAACTATTTGAGTTCTTTATATATATTTGTCCTTTCCAGGAAGGTACCTACTAATCATTCTGTTTGAAAATAGTAGATCCTTCCTGTGCTGGATAAGTATTTTATGAAAGAGAATTTTCTTGGGTGAAATAACTGGAAACTATTAATGGGTTAAATAATGTTACAAAAAATCAAGAATTGATAAAAGTGTGCTCCTAATTTAGACAACAAACCACAAACTTTGTAGGTGTAGGTTTTTCCTCCTTCTATACTTAAGCCTTTCAAAGATCTGATAAATTTGGAATTTAAGTATTTTTTTTTTAAATTGAAATAACCTTTTCTTAGCAAAGTTTTTTCTCCCCTTCCATGGCAGGGATTGAACATGGGCCCTTAAGCATGCGAGGCTGTTGCTCTACCGCTGAGCTATATCCCTAACCCTAGCATAAGGTTTTAAAAGGTAGTCTGTTATCTTTGAGAAAAAACTTAAGATTTTAAAAGTGTCTCATTAAAGCCTGCATTAGAAGATGTTATAGACATCCACACAATTTTAATAATGTATATTCATTGAAAAGATTTACTTACATGCTTGATATATTGTTTGAAAAAATTAGGTTCTTAAGATCAGACTATATCCATGCTCAACTTTGAGAAGGTCACAGCTTTGCTGAGGAGTGAAAAGTGATTGTGACACCATAATGCTTTTCTGTTTGCTTATTCAGAAACTTTGCTTATTGTTTTTGAAGGTTAAAGTAATAAGTAGGTTAACATGAAAACTAAAAGGTATATAATTTACCACAGTTCAAAAGATTTTCACTTTACAGTAAATGACTCAGTGAAGACTAGAGATTTTTAAATTCTTAGTGAAAGTATATGATTATAATTGTGTATTGTAGAAAATCCACTGAAATCAGATTTTGGACTGCATTATACTTTGTAACTAACTTACCTTAATCCTCTGTTTTCCAAAGTTACTCTTGGGTCTTCTCATTTTATAAGGTTATTAGTAAGTAAGACTTTCGTTTCTTAAATACAGCAATACAAAGACAGGCACACTTTTTGGAATTTAGGGGGCTGTGGTAATTTAAGATAATTATCTCTGTTTTCCTTTTAGCCTGTGGATATCTCTACTGCAATGAGTGAACGTGCACTTGCTCAGAAAAGACTCAGTGAGAATGCATTTGATCTTGAAGCCATGAGCATGTTAAATCGCGCTCAAGAACGGGTATGTGGTCATTTTAATGTCTAAATAAGAATTTCATTACCTAGATGGTTGAGATATGAGAACATCCTAAATTGTGATACCATTTGTTAATCACCTGGCTTATTTTAAGAGAAAGTGATTGGGCTTGATTGTGCTATTGTTTATTATGTACTATATGGAAAGAATAAGATAGGAAAAAATTGTCTGCCCTCTTAAAGAGATTTTATAATCTAGTGTATAAAATAGCTAAGTGCCCACATTAGTCATATGAAGTTTGTAGGTGTTTGCTAGTTCATGTTTCAGTTAAAAAAAACAAACAGATGAAGTTTGTTTAAGTGATAGTCAAGATCACACAACTAGAGAGTTGGAGAAATTGGGATTCAAATCCAGAGATACTCAGTGCAGAATTATGCTTTTAATAATGGACATTTTCTCCATTTCTCTTTTATCTTTCTACATAGAAACAAGTATATGTTTAGACAGGAAATAACACTTGATTATATTCGGTAAACACAATTTCAGTGATTAAGATTGCCACAATGAATGTGATGTGGATCACAGGTTTCTTAAAAGGTTGTTTTATGTATTCAAGTGGATCATTAATTGTGTACTGTCTCACATTAATTAAAAATTCAGGTTGCAATAGCTTTTTTACAGTGCATTTTTATGAGAAGTAAAAGGAAGAATCTTTTGCCCACTTACTGTTTTTCATGTATCTCTGTGATATTTTAGAGATAACCCCTCATCTCTTGATATTAATGAAACTCACTGAATAGTAAAGATTTTCTTTGGGAAGTTGAGGCAAAAGATTTAGTTTTAAACCTTCAATGTCTAGTGATCCATTTTCAGGGTGACCATAACAGTGGAACATAATGTTTAAAAGTTTAGTATTTAAGTCTATTTTTCAGGATTTGCAGGAATGAAACTTTTTTCTTTATTAAATTATTTCATATATTATTAACAATGACATTTTAATCAGATAAGTTTCCCTTAGTTAAGGCAGCTTCTTTTTTTTAGATTGATGCCTGGGCTCAGCTGAACTCTATTCCTGGCCAGTTCACAGGAAGTACAGGAGTACAAGTTCTGACACAAGAACAGCTGGCCAATACTGGTGCGCAAGCCTGGATTAAAAAGGTACACAGTATGTGCACATATGAACATAACACAGTACAGTGTTAAATTTTTTTGGTGGGAAAATGTTTTATTTAAAAATGCATGAAGAGGCTGGTGACTTTAACCAAAGTTCCTGAATAAATCTGCTGTGTGTATATGCTCCAGGATGGACAATGAAGATGGACTGGAGTCATGAGACAATGTCAAAATTTATAAATATGGCTCAAGAGCCACTCAGTTTATATTCTAAGGTTATTTTTATTTATTTTTTGCTGCTGCTACTGGTTTTGGTGGGGGTGGTTTTATTTAACTGTGTTTTGAATGCTGTGTCAGGTGCTGTTCAGAATATTCCACAGTTCCTGTTGGACTACTAACCTAATCATTTCAAAGCAGTGGTTCTCAAATTTTCTTCATCATGGGATACTTTATTACAGGTTTATTTTTGGTGGATCACTACCCCCACAAGCCCTCTATCACCCTAATGTTCTGTTCCTCTATTCCTCTGTCCTTGTCCTCTCAGTAGTGCCTGCACCCTCTTCTAAGATCCCTTGGCTCCTACTCCTCATGCCTCTTGTGACTTCCAGCCCCAGGTTCCTATATGGTGGTCTGCTGTTGATTACAGCAAGTGGTTGGGAGGCCCTAGTATTAGCACTGCATGTATTGAACTTGCCATGGGACTGGAAGGCTGGGGGGAGGATGGTTGGAATGTGGGGTGGGCAGTGTTGAAGGGTGGTAAAAGGGCTGGGGAGGGGATGGAGTTATTATCTGTGGACCACCACATAGGCCCTGGTGGCCTTTGGTGATCCACAGGCTGGATTTGAGAACCACTGATTTCATGAAAAAACAGGATATATAAATCAAGGGAGAGGATGGACACTTCGTGCTATGAAGATGTAGGTGCACCTGGTCTGATTCCTGCAGTGAGATGTGTGAACTCCACCTCTGGCTGCCTTTCTGTTGGGGGAGCCTTAGGTGGTGAAGAAGGGCTTGCTGAAGAAAAAAGCATTCTGGTGAAGGGATGTGGGTCTGCTGGATGGGTAATGGGGAATTTGTTTCAGGAGTACTGGCAGCATAGCAGTGCTGAAACTGGGAGGCTGCGTGGTCTAGTGGATTGGGAAGGTTTCTTTATCCTGCTGTACTCCTGACTCCTTGTGTGATCATGGGCAAGTAATTCTCTGGAATTTCAAAGATTCCCAGGTGTCAAGTGGAGACAGGTCCACTTTATTATTGCCTCACAGTGTTAATAATGTGATAGGTATGTTTTAGAAAATTGGAATGAGTGCCAGTCATGGATGAGTTTCTGTAAAATGATACTCTCTGCTTCAGGGGTGATATAACATTTCAGTTTTGATAGTATTGTCTCTGTTGACCCTCTTAACAGATTAATGAGACACATACTCTCATTGTGCCTGTCTTCAAGAGTTATAATACTAATATGTATACATTGATACATGGTTAGATTAAAAAATTAAAACTCAGTTTACTGGGAGGGGTTGGTATTAATCTACCAAAATATTTTAAGAATTTGCATTAATTTTAAATTTTATACTAATACATTACTGTTAAAGTGGCTTTCATCTTAGTGGGAACAATTATAAACGAACATCTTTTTTTTTTTGGTTTTTCCCTTGGAGCTGGAGACCAAACGAGAGCTATGTGCGTGCTAATAAGCATGGGATCTACCACTGAGCTATAATCCCTGATTCTGTGACACTAGTTTTGAATCTGAGTGCTCAGTAGTTTAGGAAGTTAGAGGGGAAGCTTATGGTATTTTAACAAAGCCATAATAAACAGTCCATATATTTTGCTTTCATTGTAAAATTTTGGTCTTATCGTGTAATGATATGCTGCTCCAAAAAGTTTTAATGTTTATATATCCTCCCATTAACATAAAATAACTTTTACAAAGTGAATCTTTCACTGATTCAGTTTTTCCACAGCTGCTATCAGTCCTGGAGACAGCTTACAGATTTTCAAATAAAATGTTTAGTGAACTCAAAGTTTTATTTTTACATTTTACATAAAATATACCTTGGGAAGCAAATCATTTGAATGAATTTCATGAGGTAATGATGTGTTCAAAAGACCAAGCTTTGAATTAGAAGAAAGCAATCCTTTCAACGAGCCAGAACATTTAGAAGTCATTGGGCTATTGAAAATTTAGTATTTCTAACACAAATACTAAGCATTAAATATACTTCAGATACTTGCTCAAATGCTCACTCATTTCTTGATTTAGTGCAGCCCAGTACTCTGTGTGAAAAAAAAAAAAGGGGAGTACCAACATTATACATGTTCTTTTTTAGTTTGTTACAATATATTTTTAGATTGGCCTATATTCCAGTTCAGAAGTAAAATATTTAAAATTTTAATTTTAAGGACTTTTAAGTTCCTAGAATGAAATTATTTGGACATACCTTGATAAATACTGTGTTTTACTTTGGTCTGATTAGACTAACCAGCTTTTATGTTGCATACACACTGGGTAAAATAAACAGGTTGAAGGTATTAAGAGAATAGAAACAATTGAAAACATGGGTTATTTGGGATTTATATTGTACTCTGTCTGCACAGTTGCCCTTTTTTTTAGGATTGTTTCCTGGAAAAGAGGGGCAGATGAACCTGGAAGTAAGTAAAAGTCATTCTAGGTGTGTAGTATCAAGGCAGTTGATATCCAAGCATCAGCTAACTTTCTCTTTATACATCTACACTGCATGGCCTGCACCAAATAAGGAACTGAACCAGGGGTATGTTTTTACCTCCACAGCTGCCTCCTTCCATCAGAGCACCTTGTTGAACTTAATGTCAAGTCACAAATCATTGGCATGTTTTCTACCCAGCATTTAATTATAAAGCTGGGAAACAAAGATTACATAGTTTTACTATTGTGTAAAACGTACGATGTTTTGAACACTTACTAACTTATCAATGAAGGAAATAATGTACACTATTTACTTCAAAAAGTTTTGATTACCTCTGTTGATAAGTTAATCACTTTTGTGTGTGTATATATATATATATATATATATCTTTTAGAGAACATTATCCTAAATTTAGTAATAAGGTGAAATAAAATATGATTTGGGGCTGTGTGTTGTGTTTCATTTAAAAACAATGTCCTTACAGAGCTACAGTAGATAGAATTCAGCACTGTTACATGTATGAGGATGCCCATTAAAAGGGGGCATTGAATATTCTTCCGATGTTAAAATAATGGACTGTCGACCATGCTAATGTATATAGTTGTGCATCTTACGACATTAAGTGGTTTGCTGCTTTGATGGAAATTATGGTTCAGTGGGTTGGATACGAGAGAGATGATTGTTCACAGAATAACCTGTGAACTTTCACCCCTCTGTATGGAAACTTGTTTCAGGGCCAAATCCTTGTAGCTGTCTTCTTGCCCCGGTCAGTGCCAGCCGTACTAGTCACAACACTGCTGCTACCGAGGCCTAGGTATGTAAACATTTAAGGAGTTTTTTAAGTCTTTTAACATCAAAGCTAGGTTTTAAAAGAGTGCCACTTCATTTTGGTATACTTACCAGGGTACTTTGTGTGGTTATCTTCAATTTATTACAGTGTAATTTTAAAGAGTTTGTTTTATAGGGATTTTCTGAGTAAAAATATTTATACTTATAGTAGAATGGGGAAGAAAACTTTGGATGGCAACAGTATGCTTCTTCAGTGTCCAAACTATTTCTAAATGATTTCTGGGCTTTATTCATAAACTAGGTACACCTGGGACAATTAATATTATTGACTTTTAACATTGCCTTCTTTTTATTTTGCAAGCTAAGAAGAGATACCAGTGAACCTAAATAGTGGACGAAAACAGGAGTGTTCTAATTTTTTTTGGAGGGGGGAATGAGGGACTACTGTTTTAAAATTGACATTTGACTTTCAAAATACTATTGGTAATGTAGAATATATATAATACAATACATATTAAGTACATAGACATTTAAATTTAATTGTGGTAACAGATCTAGAAGTAAAATAAGATTTCTCTTTTTACAAAGTTACCAATGAGTCTGCAGTCAAGTTCTAACTGTAAAATGGGGACATTGTACCTTTCTTTCTTTGGATAGGATCAGTTCTTAAGAGCAGCCCCAGTAACTGGAGGAATGGGAGCCGTTTTGATGAGAAAAATGGGCTGGAGAGAAGGAGAAGGATTAGGAAAAAATAAAGAAGGAAATAAAGAACCTATTCTAGTTGATTTTAAGACAGACCGAAAAGGTAACGAGTTCATTTTTTAAATGTTTATTATGTTTCACCATTTATACTGTATTTTGGTCCTGGTCATCCTGAACTATAGGCATTTCTTGTGTATTGTCATATTGTCAGACATTTTAAACTTGTTTTCATACATTGGAGCTCATTTTTTTACGGTTGGGGATACTAGAGCTTTCAACGGTATCTTTCATCATGTGACTTGCTAAATATGAAAATGTGTACATTAGACCACAAATTTAATTAGATTTAATTTGGGATTTCCATAGTTTTTTATTTCTAGGATTTGATTTTTTTTTCCTCTGATGGTTAAGGTATTTTCCTTAAATTTCCTATCAATGTGCTGATTTGTCTTTACTTTATAAGTACTTTTTGCTTTTCCTTTTCACATCAATAGTTAAGTTTGACAACTGTTAGACCAACTGCTGCTACCTCTGTATTGCCTCCTGTTGGGGCCCCTTGGAGTATTTATCACTAACTATACTTTGCTGTTATCTTCAGATACTGGGGGTTGGAGAGAAGACCTCTGTAGCTTCCATGTAGCTGCTGAGTATTAAATGCATACTTAGTACTCCCAAGTAATTTATTCTCATGGAACAATATAATTGGAATCACAAGTGGCTGCTTGCTCTGTTTCCTGGATTGTTTAGGCCCAGTTTTTAAAAATAGAAAATTATTCTCTGTAATCAAACAGGTGGGTTCAAGAAAATAAATCATTAGTGCATTTGGAAACAGAGTAGGTATACAAGTGTGTGTTACATAATTCCAGGGAATGTTTTCCTTGGAATTATGCAACATGACTTGGGTATAATTTCTGAGAACAGCACACTGTCCAGAATAGGAATAGTGAATGTTAATATACTAGCATGTAATCAGGTAAGGACTAGTTGAATAGCTTTCTGTATTTTGGGGGTTCTTAATATTGTTAGTCTTCTTCGTAACAGATTTATGGAAGGTGAGATTATAGGGAATTTGTATTTATCTCTGGAGAAATATCTCATTTGTTAAGAAAGGGAGATTTTGCTAGGACAAAGGGGAAGCATGTACCCGTGGAGACACTGCCCTTTTCATTCAAAATCCTACCCACCTTAACCAAGAATCTTTTTTTTTTTAAAGAATAAAATCATTTGCAATCAGTAGGTACTACTAAAGCTAATACAAAGAAATAAACCTGGAGATGTTTATATGATAACTTGTATTATCTATTAATATTCTGTTTATATATTTTAATACCAAGATACGTTGAAATGGTAAATGAGAATATTGATAAAACCACTGTTGTATCAGCCTTTGAAGACTTCAAATTCAGGCTGCTTCAGTGGGCATTTTTGTTTCTCTACATTTAAAATGATGCTTGTGATACTGATTTTTGTGAATATCTGGCTTTTATTTAGGTCTTGTTGCTGTAGGAGAAAGAGCACAAAAGAGGTCTGGGAACTTCTCTGCTGCAATGAAAGATTTATCAGGTGAGAGAACACTTGAATTTCCATGTGTCCCATACATACCTCAAATTCATTTTTGTTGTCAGAATTTCTGGAAAACAATTTATAACTTTTTTTCCCCCCTCCAGGCAAACATCCCGTGTCTGCCTTGATGGAAATCTGTAATAAGAGAAGGTGGCAACCACCTGAATTTCTTTTGGTCCATGATAGTGGCCCTGATCATCGCAAACATTTTCTCTTTAGGGTAAATATGAATTTCTGCACTAATAGTATACATTTAATTTGATGACTTAATGTTAGAGGGTGAAGGGACAGCATGATACAATCACAGTATTCTGTGGATTGTGGGTACATGTATGTGTGACTACAGTGGTGGGGTTTTTAAACACCGAGGCATGTCTTAATAGGATTTGTAATATATAATTTTTAAAAATCAGGGAAAGATACGGGCAAAATCTGGCAAAGAAATTGTTCATAGAACCTCTAGTGGAATGTGGGGAATTAATCTTAAAACTTTTATCAAGCTTTCTAATTTTAAATTTAGAAAACTGGTTTGAATTTGCAGTCCATTTTTCCAAATCATTTGCTTCTTTTGGGCTGAAATAATTTACATTGAATACTATGGGTTATATATTTTAAAAATTATTTTTCTAGCATTTAGTGAAAAAAATACAAAGCTAATAGATATTAAAGTTTGATGCTGTTCTTATTGTATGTTTTTCTTGAATAGGTATTGAGAAATGGAAGCCCTTACCAGCCCAATTGTATGTTTTTCTTGAATAGGTATTGATAAATGGAAGCGCTTACCAGCCCAGCTTTGCCAGCCCTAATAAGAAGCATGCTAAAGCCACAGCAGCTACTGTGGTTCTTCAAGCAATGGGCCTTGTACCAAAGGACCTCATGGCTAATGCCACTTGCTTCAGGAGTGCCTCACGTAGATAGATTGAGGTTTTATATTAATCATTTCAGATAATTTTACTCTGCATCACAATGTATGTCCTCTTTAATGTTGTAAATATTTGGCAATTTAAGACATTGTGTAAAAAGCAATCTGTACAAACATCTCCAGGCTTTGATTTTTGTACCATGGAAATTGTATTTAACCATACAGGGTTTTGGTATGTTTATATTGTTTACCTTAGTGATGTATTTAAGTGGCTAACATCCAAACAATTGTTTGAAGGCATCAGTAATCTTCAGTGTGGAATGTTAAATAACGCTTTTATACTGTATTTTGTACTATGATGTAACTTCCCTTCCTTATGGCTAGGCTGCTGTAACACTTGCCTGTAATCAGTGAAGGGCTGTGCACCTTGTACTATTTCAAAATGGGTTCTGCTGGACAGATACTGGGCCAGTGTTATTGAGGTAATCAATCAAGCAAGATCTGTTCCACAGGGCTAATGCCACCATCCTCCCTTAAAATTTTGTAGAGGTTATAAAGAGAAAGTGATGTTGTGTGATGATCAGCACTAAGTCCTGCATTCCCATTAAAGCCACTTTGGTCATAAGAAGGGAGTCAAAATGAAGTCTGACTAGAAATCTACTGCAGAGGCCAAGTACATTTAGTATGGCTTGAGTTGTGATATAGTTTTACTTTGATGTGCATTTTGAATTTCAGCTACACCTAGGTAGACGTAAAATGATAATTAAAAAATGCTGTAACCAACTTATCTAATAAAATTGGCAACCAGCCATTATTTTGTTGACTATGAGAAAGTTTATGTTAATTTTTAGGGTCTGATAGAACTATTTCATGTGTATTACAGTGGTATTCATATGCTATGTCTCTAAACTTTATTTTCAAAAGCTTAAGGCCCAAATACAAACTTCTCTGGAATAAATGTGGTGTTTTATTTTCTGGATCATAGAGTGAACATACACATCTTCATTAAGTACTATTATCTAAACATATTAATTTCAAGCACATACACACATGCACGCACACACCCCTATAAATACATTAAATGCAACTTTGCCACAATAGCTGAGCATCTAACTCTTAATGCTATTCTATATGGAGTACAGAATAACCTTATTTGTGTGAATTAATTAGCATGTATTAAAAACAGGAGAATACAGGAATTTATAAATCGGTAAACATGGTTTGGTAGAAGAATCAGCTTAGAGATACTGTCTCTACCATGTACTTTTAACAGTAACTTCAGTTGTAATATTAGGGAAAATTTCATGAAATAATTTTTCATGAAATAATTGCTACAGATTTAATCTCATGTAAGGAAACACTTTAATTTGCTTTTCTACTCCATTTACAAATATAGCTTGCAGACAGAATTCTCATTCAAGTTACTTGGGGTTTGAAAAAAGTTTTCATCATCAAACCTGAAAATCTAGTATAAAACAGTAAAACCAAAATGTTGATTTACAATCTTTACACTATTGCTCAGTGCATGTAATAAAATTAAAAGTTGAGTGTAAACATTTCAATATTTAAGTATATTCCTTTAACTTCCAAAAGGAAATGTAAAGACAAAAGAATCTTGAGTTTTTTTGCTAGGAGGTTTTTCCTCAAAGATTCCTTTAAGGCTTACTTTGATGTTTAGGATCTCCAATTACAAAGGTAGTCATTCATGTCCACATGCCGTAAAGATGATTTCCCCAGTAATGGTATTTCACTAAGTTGCTCCAAAGTCTTCGGGTGCAACCCGCAGTTAGCCAGTTCCTTATGAATAGCTTCCTATGGAAATATGTACACATAAGTCTTTGAAAGAGTATATTAGCTTCTGAACAGTTTTAAATGATTATCACGAAAACTGACAAATGGCTCATTCCTGTAATGCATTGTTTCTACACATGCTGATCCTAAGAATTTATGTATAGACCAAACCCTACAGTTTTTATAGCTAGTTGGTAATGTGGTAGTTTTATACACCTATATAACTACACAAAAATCTAAATCTTGAAAATGAGATATATATGACTCCCATAGTAAAGTTTTCATAAACTACAAAAGAACTGGATCTGAGAGGGCAATGAAAATAGCAGGTCTAAGGGAAGTTTCCCAAGCCATTGCTTACCTCATAAAAACTTACTCCTTACGATGGATTTTATTATTTAAAATTTTACTACATAATGATTACATTCATCGTATTTATTCATAAAGCATTTAATTCCTTTTAACTGATTTGACAGTATTTTTAGAACCTGAAGCACAAATTCACCTCATAAATGAACTCTCTGCAGCTAGGAAGTTTCCCAGTTGTAGCTAGGAAATAACCTACAACTAAAGCTGTTTATAGGAATCTACTTACTTTATCCAGTACTTTATCCAGTGGTAGGCAGATATTAAATACAGCTGTTGGCTCATGTGGATAGAGTCCTGCAGAGAATGACCCACTCTGTGAAGATTTGAGTAGCCTGGTTATAGAATATAGAGCATGAGGCATGATTGGACCTGTAATCTCCAAACTGAATTGATCTTGGTATCCAGAAAGAGCTTGTGTCTTCACATTAACACTCCGCGCCTTCATGAAAATTAAAAAAAAAAAAAAAAAAAAAAAAAA